CTGCTGCCCAGTTGGCAGGCGTCCTCCTTGTCTGCAAGCTCCTGGAGCATGTGGGCAAGGAAGGGAAAAGGGGTTGAATCCATGCTCCTTCTCCCGGGCCTCACCTGGCAGGGTCCACAGGGACGATGATGAGCCACCCACCCTTCACTGATTTGCACATAATCGTATCTTTCCCTTGATGGAACCAGCAACCGGGCCGCCCCAACATCTGTTCTCTCCATCTCCCCCACTTTTATTCAAGCGGCTCAGACTGCACTTGGTTCGGTTCACTGTTCAAGAAACATTTACTGAGGCCTGGCTTGGGTGGCACAGAGGTAGAGGAGGGAGAAGGGCTGGGGATTGATGGAAGCCTCCCTGTGCTGGGCTGCACGGCACAGACAGGTAACCAAGGCTCGAGATGAAAGCCACTGCCCCACCGGCACTTCCCAAGACGAAGTCCCTCAAAATGCTCATGGGTACTGGGGCTTGCTGTGACTGAGCTCCTCACGGCAAGGATATGAGCTTATCACAACTGTTAGCATTAGCGTCGGCTCCATGTTACAGAAGAGGAAACTGAGGCCCAGGAGGTGTAGTGACATACCCTGGGCCCCATAGATAGAAGCGATCAAGCTCAGGTCCCTCTGGTCCTACCTCCTGGTCTCAGCAGAACAGACCAGCTGGGAGAACAAAGAGCCCATCTTCATGCTGTCTGCTGCATGTCAGGCACTGTCGGAAGTACTCAGGGAAACTATACATAGCCCAGTGGGCAGGGCCTCAGGACCCCTGGGCTCATCCTGGTCTGGTCAGACTCAGTGCAGGTGACCCTGCACATCCAAAAGCATAGGATGCAGCCAAAGCCGGGATTTGAGGGCAAATGCGCCCTCAAATCTTCTGCCCCGTATAAGGACATTGTCACTAACTGCGGGGCTCGCTCGAATCCAGAATGAGCTCCTATAGGGCCTTTCACTCGGTGACATCTTCAAAGCCCCTTCTCTTCCCTTCCCCAGCGCGGCCACATTCTCACATGCCTTTCGGGGCTCGCCATCAAACCCGCCACCCTGACCATCAGCTCGCTTCCCTGAGAGGGGGCACACCCACTACCCCCCGCCCCACCCTGGCTTCGGGCTGCTTCCTTGCTGCTGCCCAGTTGGCAGGCGTCCTCCTTGTCTGCAAGCTCCTGGAGCATGTGGGCAAGGAAGGGAAAAGGGGTTGAATCCATGCTCCTTCTCCCAGGCCCTACCTGGCAGGGTCCACAGCTCCCAGAACTGTGCTGCTCCCCTGAGCACCTGTTCTCTGCTGGGCTGTGTGTCCGGCACCCTGGACAGGCCGACAGGATGAGGAGAACACGGTGCAGCCACTTTGCAGGGAGTGCCGGAGCCCATTGTGCATTCTTCCTGGGGAATGAGATCAAGACACCACCTCCCGGGGTGTGTGGTCTTGCAGCCCCCGGAGGAGAGGGACCCCCGGGCCTGCCTGTGCTCCAAAGCTCACCTGACCCCTGACCTGGGGCACTTTAGGGTCCCTTCCACGCCCTCACTTCTACAGTGTCAGACACTCACCCAGACAGGAGCCCCTGACTCACGAGAGAGCTCCTCCCCTTCCAGGTGGGCTGTGGTAGGAGGCTCCAGGAGGCCTCCCAGAGGCCCCTCCAGTGGAGTGCAGACCCCTTGAGTTATAGCTCTAGCCACCACACTTGTCTTTGCCAGGTTCCTCTTCTGGAGACCAGGAACTGGTCACGCATCTGTGTCCCCAGTGCCCAGCCTGGCAGGGAGTGGGTGGCAGCCTTGAAGGGTGAAGGAGGAAAGGAATGAATCAGCGAGTGGGTGGCGTAGGCCGGCTGGGCCATGCAGGCCAGCCCAGCCCAGCCCCTGACAGTTTCGTGTCCCTTGCAGATGTGCTGGTGGACGGACAGCCGTGTGACTGTGAGTCTGCGGCGGCCTGCCAGGTAGGCGACCCCGTGCGCCTGGAAGTGCGGCTGACCAACCGGAGCCCGCGCAGCGTAGGGCCCTTCGCCCTCACCGTGGTCCCCTTCCAGGACCACCAGAATGGCGTGCACAACTACGACCTGCACGACACCATCTCCTTCGTGGGCTCCAGCACCTTCTACCTCGACGCGGTGCGTGGTGGTGTGCAGGGTGGTCTGGGAGCCTCTGGTCATGTGGCCCAGGCCCTCATGGTCATCGTCCCCCTTCCCTGGGTGGTGGGCTTTGGGGTCAGCATACGTCCAGCAGACGACAGTAGCAGGGGTTCTGTGGTCACGTGTGCACACTGAGTCTGAGCCTGCCCCACCCACTGCAGGAACTTAGACAAGCTCACCTCGTTCTCTGTCCTGGGCAGTGAGGCCCTGAGCGTTGGTGAAGCAGGAAAATGTGCAGGGAATGGGAGCTATGCCCAGGACAGGGTGCCACTCCATGATTGGACCCTGCTGTGGCATCACTGTGATGTCACTGTCACCCATCCCATGCCTGCCGCTCCTCCCATGGAGAGGCTCCAGCCCACACCCTTGGCCCCCACCTCCCAAGCTGCCTCTCAGCCCCTCACTGTCAGGCCCCAGCACAGGCTGTCATTCCGTTCCCCTTTGCCCCAACCTCTCCCTCACTCCCTCCCACACTCCTGACCCCCTGTGCCCCCAAACAATTCAGGAATGGGAATGTTGGCAGCTCCTTTCAAAGACAAATCTGGCTTGGAGAGGCACAGTGACCTGCTGGAGGGGACATTGGAGCCAGGCCTGGGCCGCCCTCACTTCCCCCATAGCACCTGTGTCCAGGCAGGTTCCTGAGATTCCTGGCGGCTTTGGGTGGCCCATGCTGCTGACCAGACTGACGCGTCTTTCTCCTCCCTGCTCAGGTACAGCCATCTGGCCAGTCGGCCTGCCTTGGGGCCCTCCTCTTCCTCTACACGGGCGACTTCTTCCTCCACATCCGCTTCCACGAGGACAGCACCAGCAAGGAGCTGCCACCCTCTTGGTTCTGTCTGCCCAGCGTGCACGTGCGCGCCCTGGAGGCGCAAGCCTGAGCCCGCCCACTTCCGTCCCTGTTTCTGCAGGGCCAGAGGTGACGCAGCCTGGCCTCCCACACCCCCTGCAATGAGCAAGGCCTTCACTGCAGCCCTGTCTCCCCCTCCTTCCCCAACCCCCACCCAACCCTCTCCTCCCATTCCTCCTGTAGCATCTTTGCTGGGCTACGCAGAAGCCCCCAGACGTGGCAGCCCCACCCCGTGCCACACCCCTTCCCACACTGTTCCCTGGACTATACACAGGCCGCAGCAGAGGAAACCCCAGAGTGGGTGCCCATTCAGCCCAGGTCCCAGGATCCCTGCATCCGTTTATGTGACCTGGGGCCCCAGCCTTGCTGTGCTGCTCACCCCAGCAGAGGGACCTCCCTCATCCAGCCACTTCCCTTTGGCCATAGAAAGAAACGGTGAGCATGAGGCTGGGTGCAGCCTGAGGGCGTGGGCAGCTTCCCTCCCTCCCTGGGCCTTGGAATCCCCCAAGCCTGGTTTTCTTCCTGGAGACCCCCTTGGGCAACTTGGCAGGAGAGATGGTGCCGTAGGTGGTCATGGATGGTTGACACCAAGAGAGGCCTTCCACCCATGGTGGGCAAATGTCCAGGCCTGGGCTGCCAGCCCAGGGCTGTTTCTGGGTGCTCCCTGGCCCCAGGGTGGTGTCTGGGTACCGTGGCTATGTGTGTCCATGTCTGTGAGCAGTTCTTCAATAAATGGCCTGCCTCCTCCTCCTCCCTGCCTCCCTGCATCTGCTGGCCCAGTGCAGTCCAGGGCCCCCACCCAGCCCGTCAGCCCCCACCTCAGGTGGCTGGCTTCCCAGCAGAAGCCGGACCCAGGAAGGGACGGGTTCTGAGTTCGAGATCCTGCATAAGCAAACCCTGAGACAGGAATCTGGGCACCAGCAGCTTGTCTGGGAGGTGGAGGGGAGCCCCTCAGGGGAGGGAGATCACCCATGAAGGAGTGTGACTGGGCCCGAGCTGCCGCCACAGTGGGCAGCTGGCCCTGCGTTCCTCAGGGAGAACAGGAGAGAGAAAGCACACGGCTCACATCTCCCTTGAGGGCCAGAGCTGGGGGGTGTCTACACCACCCGCAAGAGTCCTGGCCTGGGGGCAGGCTCCTGGCTGTGTTGACCCTTGGCTCTCCAGTTCCCGGGAAGGATAAACAGCCCTTGGTCCCCAGCAGATGTCAGGCTTGTCAGGCATCCACTGGGCACTGAAAGTCCCATGGAGTGTTGGGGACAGAGAGCAAGGCTTCCTCAAGGCCACTTGGCCAAACAGGCAGAGCCAGGAAGTGGCTGCCCTGGCCCCCTATGCGGCAGAGTCGTGTTGGCATCAGGAGGCCTGCAGGGCTGAGGGAGCTTCTGGAGGACCTGAAGCCCCAGACCCAAACCTCCCTTGCTGGGAGCAGGGTCACCCTGTGGCCTCCGGCCTGAGGAGCAGGTTTTTCTTCCATCTATGTCCTCCTGTTGTTGCCCAGTGAATGATGGGAGCACTCTGTGAATGATGGGAGCACTCTGTGAATGGTGGGAGCACTCTGTGAATGATGGGAGCACTCTGTGATGTGGTGTGGGCTGGGGGCATGTGGGGGCAGCTGTCCAGTGGCCCTCAGTCCCTGGAGCTCATTCAGCATCTGCTCGAGGCTCCCCAGGGAAGGCAGCCCCCAGAAGGTCTGGCTGCAGTAGTGGGTGGGGACCCCAGGGCGGTCTCTTCAGCCCTTCCCTTCAGGACGCATCAGTGTAGTTGAGGGCCTGGACACTTGGGCTGTTTCTGAATGGAACAAACAGCATCCATGTGTGTCAACCTCAACAGAGCCCAAAACTATGCCATTGAATGAAACAACACTTTGCAGGATGATGGGCGCAGTGCAACCCCACTTGTGTAGACAGTGTGCCCCCCAAATTATAAATTTTATATACCTCCGAACGTGTCTATAACAACATGTTTAAAGGTAGAAAGGATACACATCCCCTGTAGAAGAGTGACCTCAACTGGGGTTGCAATTGACATCTCATCTGATGTCACAGTGAGGGTGCTGGTCACCGGGGACTTGAGTAACGTACTTTCCCTTCAAAAGCACAAGAGATGAAGATACAGGTACACACATGCTACAGATATAGATCCAGCCATAGATCCAGATTAGATATAGTTGCATATAGAAGCCTAGAAAAGCCAATATGGAAAACTCTGCTAGGTCTGATTCTGAGTGGCAAGCATATTGGTGACTGTAATTCTTTTTTGCAGTTTTCTATATTTTTTAGTTTCTCCAAATACAAAAAATACCCACAACAGTTACCAGAGAAAATGCTGGATGCCACAAGAAGAAAGAATGTCAAGGGGCAGGAGGCAAAGTTGTCTTCTTGGAGGAGAGAGTGTTAGAAATAACCCAGACCTCCTGGAAAATGACCCAAATACAGCCTGACTGTGTCAGCCGCAGGCCCTTCCCCAGCCCCAGGGCACCCTTTCTGTCCCAGTAGAGAAGGTGACCTGGAGTCAGGTCTTGTGTGTGCTCCAAGCATTTGGAGCTTTACCATGGGATGTGGGGAGCCAGGGGTGTTTTTTGCTGGCATTTCTGTGGCTGGGTCATTCTGGCTGTGGAGCTGTGTTCGTGGGCAATGGCTGAGATGGAGGACCTGAGGCAGGTGTCTCAGTGACAGCACAGTATCCTCCAGCCTCTTCCAGGGCCCCATGCTGCTGGCTACCTGGCAATACAGTCCAGCGGTTGCTGCTTCTCTAGGACCCTGGTGCATTCAGAAACCTCCTGAAGGCCAGCGCAGGGTAAACCAAGAATAGACCATGTCCATTTCACTTCACTAGCTGAGCGGGTTGGTTTTGCCCTTCTGATCCTTGGTCCCTCAGGGCAGGACAGGCCTGCAGTGACCCCATAATCATGCAACCGTCATGCTCTGTCATCTGAAATTCACAAGGAAGGCAAGGATTCAAAGGAAGATGTCTGAGATGCTGAATTCCAGCTCAGCCACTTGCCAATTCCTTGACCTTGGACAAGTTACTTAAATTAAGCCTTGATTTTTTTCATCTGAATAAATAGATATACAAATACTTATTTCATGGGCACTTTCATACCAGTTTGTTTGATTTAATCTCCTAGATTTTTTAGCACATGATAGCAACTTCTCAATAAATACTGGGCCCCTTCTCTTAGCCTTCCCATTGCTGTTCTTTTTAATTCCATCCACATGTCCTGTGCCTGAAATATCCTGTGCCATGTGCCTGAAATTCCATTCTTCTCCTAGGACCCTTAACAGGCCACATTGCTATGCTCCATTATTCCCCTGCATGGCTTACTGTATTAGGTAACATGAAGCATCTAAGGAAGAACTTTCTAACATAAGTGCTAAAATGGGACAGGGAATGCTGATGGAGTGAGCTCTTTGTCAATAGAGCAAAGTCCAGACCTGTAGATGGTTTCAAAACATGTAAGCATCATTTGGGGATTCTGAGCCTGCCAGCCAAGAAATTGTCAATGATGACTTGTTAAGAGGTATTTCTGATCCCAGTAAGCAGGGGAGAGAGAGTGAGATGTATGTGACCATATGGCTCTTGGGACCTCAAGCAATGTCTTAAGACACAATAAATTTTGATCAAAAAAGGGTTTCAACATGAAGGACTAGAGATCTAGACTAGGGATCTAGGCTAAGCCTCTCACTGAAAACAACTGAAAACACATTTGTAAGTGCATCCATGACCTGGCAGGAGAGTCAGAAATACTCAGCCCAGTACCTGTGTCCTGAGAGGTAAGCTGTGCACTGATGCCAACTTCCACTTTGAGGGATTTTGCCAAAGCCAGAGTATCAATTTCTTCAGCCTTCCAAAACTGGAGGAAAGATGACAAAGCCCAGGGCCCACTGGCTGGGGAATCGAACAGGTGACTGCTTCCCATCAATTTGAGAGCCCAAAGATTACACCTTTAGTAAAGGATGAACTAAAAATAATCCTCTTCCCACCCTACTAGGAGAGTAGATGTAACACTTCCCTGTCTTGACTGTTTGATTCCAAATTGACCCTCCCATGAATTTGCAGTCCCAAATTACACTCCCTAACTGCCTCTTCCAAACCTTAAGTGTTAATTAATTTCAAAGACAGACTGCACTCCATCATACAGGTACCAGACAAAGAAAGAAACACATCATTTTTGGAGGAATTCATTTTTATCCAAAAACCTGCAAGAGTTTCTATAAGGAAAATGATTATTTCAGAGTTTAAAAACAAAGAAAGTCATGAAATACACAAGGAAGCAATGCATCATGAGTGAGAGCTAGGAGAGACAAAATCAGCAAATGCAGGGTTGAAAAAGAATCAGATACTGGACTTATCAGACATAGACTATAAAATGACTATGCTTAACGTGTTACAAGAAATGAAAAAGAAGACTAAAATGGGTAAAGAGCTAGAATATAAGAGAATCAAGCAGAACTTCTGCAACTGAAAAATAGAATTGAAGTGAAATATTTAATGAATAACTTGAAGAGCAGATTAAACTCAGTTCAAGACAGAACTAGTGAATGAAAGGTAGAATTGAAGATGTTATTAAAAACAGAAACCAGAAAATATGAAAGAAACTTAAGGAAACACGGAGGACAAAGTGAGAAACTCTCAAATATATCTACTTGGAGTTTCTGGAGGAAAAGATAAAGAAAATGGAGAAAATGCAGTATTGAAGAAATAATGACTGAGAACTCCTCAAAACTCATAAGGATAAAAATCCACAGATTCAAGAAGTCCAAGAAATTCCTAGTAGGATAACAGTTAAAATACACAGTTGACATGTCATAATACAATTTCAGGAGACCAGATGCAAAGGGATGATTTTTAAAAGAGACAAGACAAATTACTTTCCAAAGAGTGGCAATTGATTAACAGCTGACTTCTCACCAACAACGATGGGGTTCAGGAGTTAGTGAAATAATACCCAGACATGCTGAGCAACAAAAATACTTCCCAATGAGTAAAAATAATGACATCGTATTATAAACAAAAGCAGAGTTTTCCACCACCAAAACCTCATTAAAGGGAATTTGAAATACAAGTAGAAGGAAATTGATACCAGATGGAATGTCAGAGATGCAAGAAGGAAGGAAGAACAAATTCGGTGATACATATGTCAGTAAATCTAAACAAACGTTTACGGTACATGTAATAATGTGAACTGTTGAGTTACAGCATAATAGAATTAACGTATATAGCAAAATAGCACATAAATGTTGGTGAGGGGATTATTGGAATTAAAGTGTGATAAGGTCCTTTAATTTCAATTTCAAAGATTTAGGAGGAGGGTAAAGATATTGATTCACTTAGACTTGGACTTTGGTGCTTTATTTATGAAAGTTTCAGCCAGGCATGATGTTTCATGCCTGCAATTCCAGGACTTCGGGAGGCTGAGGTGGGAAGATCACTTGAGCCCAGGAGTTCAAGACCAGCTTGGGCAACATAGCAAGACCCCATCTCTACAAAAAATTTAAAAATTAGAAGGGGTGGCTCATGCCTGTAGTCCCAGTTACTCAGAGGGCTAAGATTGGAGGGTCACTTGAACCTGGAAGTTTGAGGCTACAGTGAGCCATGATTGTACCACTATACTCCAGCCTGGGGGACAGAACGATAACCTCTCAAAAAAAAGGTTTCCAAGTTTCCATTTCTGGGGTAACTATCAAGAAGATGAAAAATAGCATGAATAACTTCTAAATTTGTGAACCCCAAAACTGGAATAAGGAAAACTAATCAGTCTGAAAGAAGTCAAGAAAGAAGAAAAACTACAGAAAGAAATACAAATGGTAGAGCAAATAAAACCACAACCCTGATGGTATCAATAATACCAATAGTGATGCTTACACTTAATATAGCCATATGTGTTGGGCATTCTTCTAAGATTATATATATAAAACCTTTATGTATATGCTATAAAATACAAACTAAGTATGCTTATAAGGAAGTCTCTATTCCTTTCTTAGGAGATACATATAGATGAGCTTACTTACAAAGTCTTTTTTTTTTTTTTTTTTTTTTTGAGATGAAATCTCACTCTGTTGCCCAGACTGGAGTGCAGTGGCACAATCTCACGTCACTGCAACCTCTGCCTCCCAGGTCCAAACGATTCTTCTGCCTCATCCTCCTAAGTAGCTGGGATTACAGGTGCCCACCACCATGTGCAGCTAATTTTTTTGAATTTTTTTAAATAGAGACGGGGTTTCACCATGTTGTCCAGACTGGTCTTGAACTCCTGACCTCAGGTGAACCATCTGCCTTGGCCTCCCAAAGTGGTGGGATTATAGGTGTGAGCCATGACTCCCAGCCAAAAATCTTTAAAGTAGATATTGTTATTATCCCTGTATTACAGTGGAGAAAAATGAGGCACAGAGAAGTTACGTAACAGCTAAAAAGTGATTATAAGTTATGGAAATAAGTACCTACAATAAACGAAAATATACTAAATCTGTTAGATGAAAGATGACAAAACCCACAAGATCAGGTTTATGATGTTTACAATATACATTAAAACATAAGGATACAGAAGGTTGAAATAAAATGGCAAGAAAATATGTACCAGAAAAGTCCTAATGAAAAGAAATTATAAGGCACAAAAAACAAAATTACTTCTAGAAATAAAGACAATAATATCATGATGATAAGAGTAGTAATTCACCAGGAAGCTATAATAACTCCAAATTTGTATGCAAGTAATAATACAGTGTCAAATACATAAAGCAAAACCTGACAGAACTATAAGGAGAAATAGACAAACCAATAATTACAGTGGAAGATTTTAACACAGCTCTCTCAGAAAATGAAAGATTAAGAAGACAAAAATTATTAAGGGTATAGAAGATTTGAAAAGTCTAATAAATTTGACTTAATGGACATATATAGAGTATTTCACTCAACAGCTGTACAGAGACATTTTCATCAAGCAAATATGTTATTATTTGTTTTATGGCCCAATATGTAGTGGAAGGACTGTTACGTAGATCACATTATCTGAACCCAATATGATTTGGTTAGAAATTGATCACCTTTTTGTTGTTTATCACTTTAATTTTTTATAATTATAAAAGTCTCATGTATTTGGAAATTAGGTAACACTTCTAGGTAACTCATAGTTGAAATAAGAAACCACCATGGAAAGTAAGAAATATTGAAAATGGACAATAATAAAAGTATATGTCAAAACGAGTGCTTCAGATAAGTCAGTATTTAGAGGGAGAATTTATAAACTCAAATGCTTGTAATCAAAAGAGGAAAGTGTGAAAGTTAATGAGCTAAGCACCATCCCCAGGAACTGAAAATGATGGCAGTAGAGATCAAAGAAAAGAGAAGGATATAATAAAGATAAGATCATAAATTAATAAAATAGAAAAGACGCACACAATAGAAAAAAGCCAAAGTTTGTTTATTGAAAAAGCTGATAAAATGGAGAAAACTCTGACTAGATTAATAAGGACAAAAGAAAAGGCACAAATAACCACATTACAAATAAAAGGGACATCAGATATTGCAGACAATGATACAAGGATATTATAAACATAAGAGGAAATGATGAAGAACTTTATATCAATAAACTTGAAAACAAATAAATTTTCTAGAAAAATGTAATAAAATTTATGATAATAGACTGCATAATCCTAAAGCCAGTAAAGAAATCAAATCGAGGTAAAAGTCTTTCCAAGAAGAAAACTGTAGGCCCAGATGGTTTTTAATCTAATAAACATTTAAGGAACAAAAAATTGTCATGATATACAAAATATTTCTAAATGTGCTAAATGTGGAAAAAGTAAACACTCAAATATTGTTATAAGGTTAGTATAATCTTAATACCAAAATCTGACAAATGAACATGAGAAAGGAAATTTCAGGCTAAATCAGGCATCATTTAAAATGCAAAACTTCTAAATGTTAACAGATTCAATGATGTGTGAAAAAGTTAGTGTGTCATGATCAAAGTGTCTTCATTCAGAGAATGCAAGGTTGGTTTCACATTAAAAAAGCATTAGTGAATTCACCCCACTAACAAATTAGAAAAATCATATGATCATCCTTTAATGATCATATCAA